CCCCCCCCCCCCCCAATATTAATTATTTGAACATCAAAACAAAAAATCAGAAAGAAGCCGACAATGGGGTGTCTCATATGTGAAGGAGGTGGTGCTTTAAAAAAGGGGTACGAGTGTCATTTTTGTGGCTGAATGAGGACAACACACCATTTCTATCTGTGTAATTAAGCCATGATCTGTGCGAATAAGCCGTAAGTAAACAATCCAAATGAACTATACGAATAAGTCAGATAGACCAATAAGCATAATTAAACTGTAAATAAACATCCTCTTAGATTCTCCTTTTCGACCGACTTTTTCAACATTGAAGACTGGAGAACAATTTGGAATTTCCTCCTTCATTTTGTTCTATTAAAATCTTCAATTTGGTCCCTTAACTATCTATAAATTCCATTTTTCAAAAAAAAAAAATTGAAATCAAAGTTTAAAGAGTGAAAACTTAGATATTAGCTAAAAGAAAGAATAGAACCCATGAGCTCTTGAAAAAACATGCATTAACTTACAAATCTAACTCAATTCAAGTTTTTGTTATAAATTTGGGTTTAAACATTTAACAACAGTTAAGTGTATGCATCTGTCGAATTTAGGCCTTAAACAAATTTCTACTGCAGTTAATCGAGTCAATGGTAGCATAAGACCACCCACCCTTCCGATCGGGCCCTTAATAGGTCTGACACTGCATGTTTGGCAATAATAAACTAGTTTTTTTTTTTCTTGCTTTTTTTTTGAGTTTATAAAAAAGTTTCGGTTGATAAGTTATGAACTATTTAAGAAAAACTACCCTAAATAGTTTCTTTAAGCTCCAATGGCATGTTTTTTTAAATGTCAATTAAGAAAAATAATGTATCTAATAGAGGAAGTTTACTTTGCAAATCATGTTATTTATATAAATATCATTCAACCAATCATAATTTTTTATTTTGTTCATTTTTTTGTAATTATGAGGAGTTGATTAATTATTTTTATTGTGGAGGATGTTAATCATGGATATTATCATATTCATTATATTAATTATAGAGAAATACATGAAACAATTTCATTAAAATTTCATAAGTTTTATATGAAACAATTTCACAAGAGTAAACAATTTTATGAAAAAATTTCATAAGATTAAACAATGAAATTGACGGATGAGGATGGTTTGCACGGTTTGTATAAATTGGGTGGTTTGCATTTGATCGCTCATCTCTCTCTCTCTCTCTCTCTCTCTCTCTCTCTA